CTATAGTCAGCCAGCTAGGCCAGTCCTCATGTGCCTGGTGACTGGGTAGAAACCTAGGGCTCAGCCCCCTGTTGCTCCTGCCAGTCCCGGGGACGGTCAAGGAGACCGCCTAGCCCTTCAAGTAGCATTCACTGATCCTGGCCCTGTGGTGGGCACAGGGCAGCAGGATATGTTGCCCTTGCCCTTGTGGACTCAGTGACTGCTGTGGAGGCACACCTCAAAAGAGGTCACAAGGCAACGTGATAAGGCCACAAAAGAGGGGCCTCTGTGCGTGTGTCTGGTATATGGGGACAAATTGTCCGGGGACACAGCAGGGGAGCAGGAACACCTGAGAGGAGGCCAGAGAGGGGGCCAAGGACAGCTTTGTAAAGCACGTAACACTTAATTAGAACATTCAAGAAAGTCATAGTTTCTAAGTAGTGAGAAAGAAAGACATTCCAGGCAGTGGGAAAACCACGAGCAAAACCATATAGCTAAGAAGGGGCCTGTTTGGGAAGCAGCAAAACGTGAGCACAGCTGAGCTTCAATGGAGGCCGGCGGGGAGTGGTGTTGGGGTTTAGGGGAGTATAGAGATGAGGCAGGGCTAAGTATGGTGGGCTGAGCACCAAGCTAAGGCTGACAGAGAGTACACAAGGCCAAGATGGCAAAGATACCAGGGTGGTGGTCCTTGAGGATGCCTGCCCCACTGTGGCTCTGTGTGCTGCTGATGGCAGACTCCCTGCTGGGGCTGGAGGATGGTAACAATGACAGTGTGTCGGCAGGCCTGCAGCTGACAGTACTAGGGAGAAAAGTGGCCACCCTACTCTCATTCGTGATGGTTGGAGAGTCCCTACTATGTCTTACCTTCTCAACAGCCTCAGGCAAGCACAAGGCATACAGCAGATGTACAGGCAGGAAGACCGAGGTGGTGGCAGGTGGTGGCAGGTAGACACCACCTAGGCCCTAGGAAGTCCAGGGTTGTAACTCCTAACACACCACAAGTGCCAGAAAGCTCTCTCCCTCCTAGACCTGCAGACAGTAAGGGAGAGAGCGCTCACTGGCAAACAGCGTGTCCTCTGTACCTACCTCATCAAGCCAACCTTATTGGGACAGGTGTGGGAGGTGGTTCCCAACTTTACTTGAGAGGGTCAGCACCTCCTGGCTGCTGTCATCATTTGAGGGAACCCCAAAGAGTAAACACTGGAGAGCTTTCTCCCACAATCCAGATGGGCAGGCTCCCATGCAGAGCTCTCTGCTGTCTGGTGTGGATGGTGAAGATAATGGAAGCCTCCTCCTTGTTCAGTCAATCAACAGAGAAATCTGAAAAAAAGAGTTTGAAAACAAAACAAACATAAGCCCTACAAACTCAAGCCAGTATACTTCCTCTCAGGTGATCTGGGCAGGTATGAACCTTTGGAATCTGGGAGGTGTCACCCCGATATTGGGAACCACTTCACATAGAGACAGGGATGGTAATGTCCCCTCCAGAAGACACTCCGCTGGGTTCTTCTCCAATGTTGGGCTGTAAGATACCTAAGGATATCTTTTCAGTGCCCCAGTACCTCTGCCCACACCACAAGAAAGTACTTATAGAATATAGTCGGGTGGAACAATCTCCCCAGATAAACTGGAATGCCATCTCCATTTTAATAAGGGAACCCTATAGTAAACCATGCTTCCTGTTTTGGCCTTGGCTTCCAGGAAACTCCCAGAAACATCTCATGCCTGCTACCACCACTTCATCAGCCCTTACATACACACACTTGCTGCCTCTGATCTTTCTCAATCTTCATTTAAAATTTTTGTTAGGCTAGGCATGGTGGCCCATGCCTATAATCCCAGCTACTCATAAGGCAGAACTCAGGAGGATCTTGATTTAAGGCCAGCCCTGGCAAAAAGTTAGCAAGACCCTATCTCAACCAACAAGCCACATGTGGTAGTGTGTATCTGAAATCCGAGCTCCACAGGAGGTATAAGAAGGAGGGTTGTAGTCAAGACTGGCTCCAGGTCAAAAACATAAGACCCCATCTGAAATATAACTAAAGCCAAAATAGAGCTGAGGACATGGCTCAAGTCCTGAGTGCAAACCCCGGAACCACCAAAAATAAATAAAAGTAAAAATTTTTCTTTTAGCTTAATCTGGTCACACTTAGCCTGTGTTATACAAATCTACCTCTTGAGAGGTAGCAGCTAAATAAACAATCAAGTTTCACTCAGGAAACAGAGGTCAAAAGTACAAACCACTGGCTGTCATTCTGGGGCTATGGAAAATCCCCTCTGATCACCCCCAAGTCCACAGACAGCAGAGAGCAGGGTGCATTCCTTTCCTCCCCTACCCTGGGGGTGGCTCCTTGCTCTCTTCCCTGGAGATCCAGCTCCACGGGCTGAGATCCTGTGCTCCCCTTTGGCCTTACTGTTCCCCCTGTGGGTGGAGCCTTTCTTCATCTACTCTCTAGGGAGGGGACATCAGTGTCTGGAGTGCAGTGATGAGGATGTCTGTCATAAGCACCTGGAGGATGGCTAAATTAGGCTCCTGGTGCTTTAGAAGATGTAGGGACAAAAGACAGCCAGGCAGGACAGGAGAGTGATGAAGGGCGTGGTTTGAGTCGTGTAGACCGGGCTTGAATCTACCTGCGCTGCCTACTGCCTGTCTAGTTCTTAGCAAACTAGTTTATCTCTCTGAGTTTCATCTTTCCCAGCTATGAAATACAGAGAATGGCAGTGTCTGTCTCTCAGCATTGTGAAGAGGCCAAGGGACAATGTCCCCACAGAGTACACCTAGGGATGGCACGTAGAAGGCTCAATAATTACAGGGCTAATGCTTGTCTTACTAGTGGCTCACAAAGAGCAGGAGAGAAAGCATGGGTGAATTCCAGGGTCCCTGTTGATGGTAACCACGCTGGCAACACCACTACTTCTGGAGTCTCCCAAAGGACTGCTGGCTGTGCCGTGCTCTGCCCACAGGGACATCGCTTCACCAGATCTCCAGAGGCTTTCCTGAGGACCACAGGCTTCTAGCCACTAATAAAGACAAAGAGCCCTGGAAGACGGACTCAGCCTAAGCACAGTAATTATGAATCCAGCTAAACAAATCCTGCCATGCATGTGCCCTAAACCCAGTCTCATGACCACCCCACTCCCACCAGCCCCCACTGTCTCCATCTGCCATGGCCAGGCTGGTCTTCTTTTCTCTGTCCACACTGTCAAATCTTTTCTACACTAGAGTCCCTCTACTTTGAATGGTCTGCATTCATATCTCCCCTGTACACACCCCCAGTAAAATAAATGTCCCTTCTATTGCAGGAGCTGTTGGGGAAGTCCCTGCTTGTCAGTATGAACAGTGTAGTCCACCTGCACTGAATGTCCCAGAGGCTTGCTAAAATGCAGGTGCCCGGGTCTTCCCCAGGACCAGTCTCTCCTGGAAGAGGACCAGGAATCTATTTCTAGCAAGCACTCCAGGTGACTCTGAAGTCCACAAAGCACGAGGATCAATGATTTGTCTTGATCTCTTTGCTGAGTGCCAAAGTGCAGCAGAGGCTAGGCCTGGAAAATTCATGACATAATCTAATCAAAATAGCCTAAGTCCCCAACTGGCTCCAGCAGTATTACCCAGGAGATCTGGAGTCTAATAAGGCTGGGTTGCCTTAGGCAAGTCACTTCCCCTCTCTGGACCTTTTATACTCCTGCAAAAGGAAGGACCAAACCAGGCACAGTGTGTGCCTGTAGTCCTAGCACTTGGAAAGATGTGGCAGAAGTTGAAGAAGAGCTGAGGAGTTCATTGCCAGCCTGGGCAGCATAGAGACCCTGTCTCAAAAAAAATAAAAAATAAAAAAGGAAAAACCAAGACTCGGGAGTCTCTGGGGCCATCTTTCTCTTATAAGTTTATAATTTCACATGGGACGAGTGCCTCTGTAAGGCCATAGGGTGGGAAAAACCCAGCTGTCTCATCACTGCATAGGTAGACAGTCCACACTTGCTACTGATGTTCAAAGATGCACAGAGGTCTTGGGTCAGAGAGGGCCAAGGTCAGTATCCAAGTGGCCTGACCTGATGAGGTATGATGAAGAACGTGTTCAGTGTCTAGGCCAGCAGAGTCAGGCAGAGGCGGTCTGGAGCTGACCTCTGGGGGAGGACTCTGTGGAGCCAGAGAGGGAATCTGAATGTCAGGGCTCCAACCTAAAGGACTGGCTCAGAGCCAGACGATAGGCCCCCAGGGACATCAGAGAACAGATGGGAACGCCCAGGCATATGGGGAACATTTCAGGGCAGAGCCTCCACACTGCACAGCTCCGGGACTGCCAGCTTACAGAATGCTTGGGGCCCTCCAGAGCTGTGGTACACACCCCGGCCCAGGCACTGGGGTGCCCCAGACACCCTGGACTTTGAACTTGAGGCAGTTGGACAAGCTCTAGGCCCATTCCTTGCTTTGGTCAGCTGAGGCACAGATGGTCCCCTGCAGGGAAGGATGCTTCCTATCCTCTTGGTTGGTAACTGGAGGCCTGAACTCAGTCCACGATGGCCATCATGGCATGGTGGGCGGGGGATTGAGGGTGGGGTGGCAACAGGCTTAACAGGAACTTTCTTCAGATCTAGCGTCTGCTCCCCGTAATTACAGGCGGCCCCACTTTGCCCTTTGGGTCCAGGCTGCCCAGCCCCTCCCTCCTGACTTGGGAGCACTGCCAACAAGAGGAAAGGGCCTAGAGAAGGTTCTAGAGCATTCAGAGGACTGGTCAACTGAACTGAGTAGATTGACATTGTTTTGCTAAAAGAAACTCCTGAAATTTAGAAATTCCTGCACAAAGCACAGATTGTAAAAACAAATGAGATTTGGCACCTTGCGGCATACCAAATGCTTTCAGCAGCAACCACCTCAACCCTGGTGATGAGTAGTATCATTGCTCCCATTTTTCCCAAGGAAGCAGAGCTGAGGATGTCACAGGGCTTAACAGTGGCAAGGCCAGGACTCTGCTTGGGCCTGCTAGGTCCAGTACAGCATCAGCCACAAGACCTTCATTGTCAACACCAAAGATAGCCCAATTCTGGTGCAGGACAACTGGGTTCAGTCACCAGAAGACTAGGGAGCTCTGGGGAGCAAAGCCAGGGATTGTAAGAAGCCCGAGCCCCCAAAAGGGTCAATGGCTTGCACTTCTTCAGTTTCATCCCAGACCTCACCTCTGACAATCTCTGATTCCCTCTAGCTTCCCAGCCAGAGCCCTCAGTGGAAGCTGTTTTGTTACCTCTGTTCAACACTTGAAAATAAGTCAGAGATGAACAGAATCCCAGTCTTTGGGCTCTGCGAGCTGCTCCTGGCAAAATGTCAAAGAACCCCATCCGGACACACTCACAAGCTTTCAAATTCTCTTTATTAAAAATTTTTTTTTTTCCCTTTTGTAAAAACAAACACTTTTCGGTCAGTTATACAGATCAGGAAGAGAGGTGACAATCTATAAGACACTCAACAAATTCCAATACTTTACAAGTTCAAACTTAACGAGAGCTTTTTGGTTTTTTCACAAACTCACAAAACAAACTCTGGTCCAGTTCAAGTATAATCTAACAGATCACTGCCTCGCACTGTCCAAGAATAGGAAACCCTGATACCAATAGCTGCTGCTCACACCAACAAGTTCACCAAATTCTTTGGGAGTACTGCCTGGATACAATTTATTCCAGGTGTTAACAATGAAAAGAAAATTACTTGGGCCTTCTGCATATTAACTCAGGGACTCAGCATACAGATAAATGTGCTACATAAGGTAGCAACTGCTCTTGAACAACCTTTTTGGGGAGACACTTTGAAATGGTTGACAAAACACTGAAGAAAAGCTTTAAAAAATAAATCTAAGTATTTTCTTGGTTGCCTTTAAAACTGAATTGTATGTGACACATGTAGGAATAAAAAGTGCAAATTACAGGGTTGGTGAAGGGCCATGCCAATGGAATTGTATAAAAATAAATAAAAATAAAATATATATACATATACACAAGTATAGAATCTCAGGTGATTTTAAACTGAAGGTTCTGACTAAATGCAGCCTTTTCTCTCTCCCTCCCTGGGGGCTCTCTGTGGCTTTCCAATATAAAGGTCAGTAAGGGAGCCATTACTTTGCTTGGGAACTGGGCCATCTGGGTTTCTATCTGGGGTGGGGTGGGAGGAGCTGGTGAGGTCTGCTCCCACTTTGCTGGGGATTAAAGCTTCCAGCTTCTCTGACAATGTACAATTCCAGTCTCTTGTGGAGGGGGCAGGACTTCCCCTGTAAGATTCAGTGAGGAGGCCAAACTGCTGGTCTCAGAATTCCCTCCAGCAGAAATAAAGATACTTGGGGTCAAAGGTTTTCTGGGCCAATAGAAAGGAGACTTAACTGGAGACTATAAGGCGAATTCAACTCTGTGGGAACAGTCTGGGCTGAGCCACAGTCTTTAGCATCTTCTCTCTGAGATACAACCTTCTCGAAAACCCCATATACCCTGATGCTCAGGTCTCCTGCTTCTTCCAACTTCTTACCACACCTGTCCAAACCAGCCTGTCTACCTCCAGAACTTGCCTTAACTCTTCCATCTTGTAGGTTCCTCACAGTTCTCTCCTTGCCAGGGAACAAACGCCTCAAACTTAACACATGGTTGTTTTAGTTCTACATTTGTTTCCTTTCTCTGTCGCAGTTTCCTCACTAATGAAATGTCAGCGTTGAGCTACATAATCTTGTCACTCTTCTTTCATAAGTACAGAGGACAGAAAGTGCAGTATATGGAGAAACACACAAACAAACCAGACGTTTCCTGCCCAGTCTACCTGCCCACCTGTACAAGGTTCAACTCTAGGAATTAAGTTTTGTTTTTGCTGGGAATCAAACCTGGGGCCTCACATGCTAGGAAAGTACTCTCCCTCTGAGCTACTGCCCCAGCCCAACTCCAGCAATTAAGTCTGTGATTCATAGGGTTTCTCTCCATCTATCACCATCTTCAATTTGAATCGTTCAGGAACAGAAACAGGCAGCTCTCTCAGGAGAGAGCTGTCCACCTCCCTTGTTTTATTTTGCAGGTGAAGCCACTGAGGCCGCTTTCGCGGGAGTACCTCAGCTCATGAAAACTTCACTAGGCTCCTTTCTGACTTTCTGGAACCCACTTGATGGCTTTGGCAAAGCCTCATTTCTTTCAGCATCTTTGTCCCCCAAACCCTTTTAATGGATTATCAGCCTATGTGTGGGGTCTGAAGACACTGACCTCACTGGGAATAAGGGCTCTCTTCTTTATATTTCAACAGCAAAGTCTACACATGTGGTCAGCCCTGAGCAGCCTCCATCCTGTGTACAGTTGGAAAGGCACTTTCCTGCAAATACCTGGAAGACCTCAAATGCTGCTCTTCTGCTCTATAGCCTTCTCTTGGCTTCTCCCTGACTGAGGGATGATTTTGAAACCATCCCACTGTAAGGTCAGTTAGGGTCCAAGTGCCACCCTTAGCAGTGGCACTAGGGTGAGTCAAGGTCAGATGTAGTTCCTTGTTACTGAGTCTCTCAGGCCAATGACATGCATTGCAGACAGGCCTACATTTATCCTTGGCCCACACCAACTGCTGTTTTAGTTGGAGGGAAAAGACACTGCTGTTCATAATTTTAGTTAAAGTGAATCGATACAAAATTCATTGTCCCAAATAGAACAAATTCTGACACCTCCTGAAATAAAGAGGAAGGAAGAAAGTTTGGAAGGACTTTATCAGAGCTTTCACAATAAAGAGCTCCTTTTCCTCCACAAAACTGATTTTACTTTAAAGCATAAACCTGCTGGATTTCTAGAATAATTGAGAGGATGAAAGGGTTATAAAACAGGGGCTTTTGGCTGGGGGTGTAGATCAATGGTAGAGAGCCTATTTAAGATGTGCAGGGCTCTTAGTTCAATCCCCAGCACCCCCCACTCCCCAAAAAAAGGTGGGAGGATTCAGCTGGAGGAAGAAGCTGTAACTGACATCACTCCCTGCTTCTCCCAGTTGATGCTCTTTGGCGGCCCTCTCAGGACTGGACTCAGCTCTCCCCCGCATGGCTCAAACAGGCCACTTAGATGCCAGGCTGAGAAGCTGCTGCAGGTTCACAAAGTGACTCTCCAGATCCGGAAGTTTCCATTCCACCTGCTATATCCTATCAAGAATTTAAACACTGTGAAAATCCCTGAGAAGTTGAATTTTATGAAAAGGAGATGATTATTGGCACAGAAGGCAAGAGGGGAGAAGGAGCAAGAAGAAAAGAGAAAAGCAAATTGAAAAATTGTAGGAGAGAAACAAGAGTCCACAGGAATTGGGGACCCTCAGCGGGCTGGACATGCCAGGGCAACTTGGCTCCTGGAGACACTTCAGGGTGTTTTAATGAGTCTCTGGGAACAAACCCAAGGAACGAGTCCTGCCTGGCTTTAGTCCTGTCTGGAGGCCAGGCAGGCCCCACTTCGGCAGGCCTCTCCACCTTCCAACAACAGCAGTGACAGCAGCGACAGCAGCATCAGCATCAGAGCTTTCTCTTTTCAAAGTGCGGCACAATTCCACTGTCCTCGGGCCTCGGGCTGCCTGCCCCCTCCGTCTCCTTCAGGCCCTCCTCAGCCAGCTGGGACAAGTACTTCTGTAGTGGAGAGAGGGACACGAGAGGCAGGGAGATGTCAGTGGTGGCTTGGAGGTGAGGAGAGGCAGGAGACATTCCTGGGCCCCCTCTCCTAACACCTGTGCCCAGTGGGCAGGTCCTCCACTCCTGTCCTGGGGCTATAGGACCTCACTGTGTTGAAAGTACCAATACTGACAATAGGAACCACTTCTCAGTCCTTATTTGGTGCCAAGCAAAATAAGGCTTTCTAAATGCTTGACTTAATATAAACTCAATCCTATCACAACTCTGTTTTCCAGAAGGAATCTGGTCTCTAGGCGGCATGTCCATGTGTAAAGGGCAGAGGGAGGGAAGCTGGAGGGAGGGAAAAGTCCAGCACCAGCCCATAATGATATCTAAGACTCCTGACAACCTGTTTCCTGTTGGGAGTGAGCTGTGGGGGTCCTGGAGGTCCCTTGATGGATTGAAGTTGGGCCTGTCTGCCCTAAACTGGGGGCTCCCTCCACAATTCACAAAGCATCTCTTGACTGAGACTGGCCCGAGGCCAGCCAATGGTCCAGCTGGGGCTACACTGAGGATGTCTGGAGTCAGTGCAGTGAAAAGGGAATAGAAAGGCCTGGGCAGCAAGAGGCTGAATATCCCTGATGTCTATGGAATGAGAGTTACAACGCAACCCTGCACAGGGCTGCTGTGAAGTTGATGGAAAGCCACACAAAGCGTTTAGCACAGTGCCTGGCACAGAATAAACAGGAATGTAAACCTTTCTTATGAAGTGTGCCAGCTATAGGATTTGCAGGAAGCCCCTCATCCTCTCCCAGCCTCAGGCTCCTCATCTGTTAAATGGGAGCACCTGTGTCTTCCTCACCCCTCCTCCTAGAAAGAGGTGGGTGCAGACTGAGTGACAGAGCGGCCACTGTAGGAGAGGATGCCTGTGGGTGAGGCAGCTGCTGGAGAGCCATTTCTCCTTTGCCTCTGCTCAGGGAGGAGGAATCACACGCTGAGGACAGCCAGTGGATAAGTATACTTTGTATGGTCATTTCCTCTTCAGCGCCTGCAGCTTGCCTCTCTAGTGTGTCCTCCACCTGCTGTTCCAGATTGCCCTGGGTGGGTTCTTATGCCATGATCATCAGTGGGCACAGCAGGAATTCTTAGAGTATAGAGGCGCATTCCACCTGCTCCTGCCTCCATGGTATCCCTGACCCCCACCTCAGGCTTCCTGGTGGGTGCTAACTTTACAAGTTGCTTGACTTAGGAGTCAGCCAGCACCTGCTGCTAGGGTCTGAATTCTTTATTTTTCACACGTGCAGTTTGGAAATGGGGTGGGTGAGGCTGTGGGGACAGAGACATTTTGTCAAGGCCACTGACAGAAACCCTATCTGGGAAGCCTGAGGTGGGGGCTCCCAGCTGCCCAACAGGGGCACCAGGGAAACCTGAACTGTGGTTGGCCAGTGTGAGGGGCTTAGGCAGCGTGTACACCTGATGTGTCTGGGGACATGGAAGTGGAGCAGGCCTCCACTCGCCTCCAGGAGGCGAGTCTGCTTGGAGTTAAGCCCAGAGGACCTGAACACAATGCAGGCCACAGCTCTGGAAACAAGGCAAGCCCTGACAAGTCTGAACTCTTCCTAACCCTCTGAGTAACAGTGATCTTGAACTGTGTGGTCTCCTTTGGCCGGAGAGAGGGGGAGGGGAGAATGCACAATCCCACTAAGAATGCTGGAAAACATACTCATATTGAGGTATCAGAACTTGCTGGAAAGATTATTTAAAAGGCAGACTTCTTAGGCTGAAGGCATGGCTGAGTGGTAGAGGGTTTGCCTAGCATGTACAAGGCCCTGGGTTCCATCCCTAGCACTGCCAAAAATTTTTAATGCAGATTCTTGGGCCCAGCCTAGAGACAGTAAGAAAGCAGTGAAGAGTGAGGTACAGGAAGCTGTGTTTTAAAAAGATGCCAGCTGAGACAAAGACCAGGTGATCTCTAGGACCCCTTCCAGCTTGCTGTTTTAAGGTTTCATCTTAGTGGAGAGGGGATGAAAACATCCTCAGGTTAGGTGACTGTCCTCAGCTGGCTGTGTGTCCTCAGCTGGCTCTGTGGAACCCAGTTGGAACTCCCTACTCTGGCCAAATCAGGCCTACGTGCTCCCTGCCCTCCTCCAGGAGAGGCCCCTAGGGACCTGAGAGTACCTCAGTCACAGAGCAGCTGTTCTCCAGAGGGAAATCAAGTGGCTTGGATGACCTGAGTTTGGGCACAGCCAGTGAGTCTCTCTCAAATGGTGGCCCAAGCCATGGCATTATGGTTCTCAGTTTCCATGAGTAGCTTAGTAGAGTGAAAAGAGGTAAGCGATCAAGAATCAGGAGATCTGGCCCTAGGCCCAGTAACTTACTCTCTGTGCAGGCTTGGACAAATCATGTACCTCTTCTCTGAGCTTCAGTTCCCTCTTTATAAAACAGGAGAGTCAGCCAATGTCTGAGTTTCTCAACTCGGGGGACAGACTGTAATCATTTGGAGAACTTTTGAACTCTGCTAAATATGTGTACTTCCAAAATCCTGCCCAGGTAATTCTGGTTCACATCCATGGTTAAGAACCACTTGATCAGTCACTCTAACAACTTAACTGTAATAGGAATGCCTGGCCTAGAACTAGGGCACAGACGTCATGGGGACTTCTTAAGTTGTGGGTCAAAACAACTATCTGATTCTTGTAGTAAAAACAGCAGGTACCTTGAGATACTCTTTCCTGAGAACCTGATGTTCTTGCCTCTGTTAAGTTGCTATTCAAAAAAAAACCTATACCAGAAGCTAATCATGACAACCACATATACACTGCAGATTAGGAAGGTATACATTGTAGAACGTATTACCATGACTGAGTTTAAGATACTTTTTTTCACATGACATCTCTGAAATCAAAATACATTTTACAGTTGATGCAGCTCAGTGTTAACTTTGAAACCTTTTTAGAATTTGATATCAAAAACAGTGTCTGAGGCTGGGGCTCAGTGATAGTGTGCTTGTTATGCTCAAGGCCCTGGGTTCAATCCCCAGCATTACAAATATACACAAACAAAAAATAGCGTCTTACAAACAATAGTAACTTAGATTGGATGAAATATGGCACCGAGTGTATTTTCATATGTAATTTTAAAATAGCATGTCTCTTAATTATTTATTGCTTGTCTCCTACATGAGAATGTGAACTCCGTGAGGACTGTTTTTGTTGTTACTGTATCTCCAGGGCCTACAACAGTGTCAGGCGCATAGTCTGCCTGAGATAACTATTTCCTGTCTGGATGAATATTTAGATGGAACATAATTGTGACTTTTATTCTAGCAAATAAAAGGAGGAACAGAAATGAAAACAACTGCAGTTGGAGCATCCAGGCCAGGTGGGAAGGGATCAGCCCCCACCATGAGCCAGGAGAGCATCAGCCTAATGCAAGTCATGCTCAGTCTAGCTGGGAAGGCAGGTATTTTACAACCAGTCCAAGAGGAGTGTTGTAAGTACTAAAGTGGAGATGGATGTCCATTCCTTGGGAGGCTGGCACCATATGGAACAGCCTGGTAGAATCAGGCATTCTCCACATAGTGGAAGGAAAAGAAACTCACAGAAGCAGATCTGAAAGATGTACTTGGAGAACGCCAAGTCCCCCATGACAGGCTCTGAAGGGGAAAGCTAGAGGGAGAGGCAGCAAGGCCAAAGACTCTGGATGCCTGGCCTAAGGGATGAGATTGAGGAGCTCCACAGGCTTGGGAACAATGAAAACTGATGGTTACCTGTAAGTTCCTGTAGTGGACGGCACTGCGACAGTGGCTCACCTTCGCCGCCTCCTCGCTTGTGTAGAACAGCCCACACAGCTTGCAGTAAAACCCAGTCCTGGGAACTATGAACTCCACACCTGGGGAAGGGTGGGGGTGAACAGGCAGTTTTAGGGAAGTGATGGGAAGTCCCTCTGGTCCTTCCAGTCAGCAAATAAAATGGGAGCAAGAGCTCCACCCCTCTTTGGCTGCTGACTTTGGCTGAATAGCTAGCCTCACCTCACTCTCCTCATTTGTAAAATAGGCACAGAGAGACCAGGGCCTACTTCATTCACAGATGGTTGGGAACGTAAGCAAAGTGCGCCAAGTAGGCTGGTGAGCTCTCGATAGTCTTTGGGAATCGAAGTTCAGGATCTGCCACTTGTCTTTAGAGTTCATTTCTCTGTACTGTACCCCTCTCTGTAGTTGTTCTGACCAGGATTCTCTCAATTTATTGCAAAATTATTTTCATTAAAGAAAAAAATTGAAAAAAAATAAAAGTGAGGGCAGAAATAACCTACAGTCTCTCTAATGTAAATATTTCCCTCCACATGTTCTATTTTTTGAGGTGTGTGGGGGTACAGTTTCTTTTCTTTTTCTACTGTTGAACTGGGTGGGGGTACATTGTGGCATTAATAAAAGTTCTTATAATTTATCAAATATATCATATTTGAATTCACCCCTCCACCATTCTCCTTTATTCCTCTTCCCCCACTGCTAGAATAGTTTCAACAGATTTTATTTTCCCATTTACAGACATTGTGTACACAGTATTTGTTTTAATCATACCCTGAATGCAGTTCTGTATCTTTCCCTTTTGCACATGCTACTGTATCCTACATTTTCTTATCTTCTTCCCCTCTTTGTATCTGACCCATCATTTAACATCACCCAATAGCATTTCACTTGTTATTTATTAAATATAAGTTCAGAATTCTAGGAAACCTTTTGATTCCAAGACAAAGAACCAATGTTCTTCCCACACACGCCCAGCCACAGGGAAGTGACAGTGTCACAGCCACAGGATCCATCCTTGAATCAAAGATGACTGCTTCAGGAGGTCACAGTTCTCCTCATGTAGCCCATGATCAGTACAGTGAAAAGAGCCCAGGTCCAAGAGGGCCCAGGCCAGATGCTAAGAACCTAAGAAACTTGGGACAATTTGTCTGAACTTCTCCTGGGCCTCAGTTTCCTCACCTGAAAATGGGGATAAGAAGAACACATTTCCTGCACACAGGGTGTCTGATGGTGACATGCCAGTGAGAGAACAGTGTTTGAGGGCCATGAAAAGCAGGGTCCCTGTGGAACTAAACCAGAATGGCTAAGGTTCTGGCACCCAGGTCCTACTTGCAGGCTAGGGGCCTGCCCTTTGTGTAAGCAAATGCCAAGGCTGGGCACGGCTGCTACCCTCTCCTCTGCTGGAGGCAGGAGATACTAGGACATGTGACTGCACTGGGCAGAAGGGTGAGAGGGATACACATTTCACAGGGAGGGAGGTGGTAAAATCTCCACTACCAGGGACCCTAAGAAGGCCACCTGACCAAAGTCTTCACTTCTCCCTCACTGTGAGCTGCATGCCTAAGAGAGCCTGTCCAGAGAAAAAGCCTAAACTTGTAATTAAACTTCTTTTCCTATCTCAAAAAACTTACTTGTTAGTGTGAAGGGGCAGCTCTGAACAAGGACAGGAGGAGGAAGGCAGGCAAGCCAGTGGCCTCCTTGACAGTGCTGCACTATGGTATGGAGCCTGTGTTTCCTCTAACTGTCACGTAGCCTGCAGCAGTCCCCAGAATTGAGAGGCTGTCACTCAGCCCAGCTGTCTAGAGGGGGTGAATGTCCTTCCCCTTCTCCCTCCTCCCACAGAAGATGGACACGTGGCCCTGGCTGGTCAGGACAGTTGTCCCCTCTACCTCACAAACAGGCGCTACAAGGCCCGCCTCCTTCCTGTATTGCTGCAAAACAATTTTCTGCTGGCTGCTGCCCCTAGGGAAGCCAAGGCCCACAAAATCCAAGAGAAAAGCCACTGGGAAAGGAGCCCACCACCAGAGGGCTTTGATCCGAGCCATGCCCTCCGTCCTGTCCCAGATCCTGCAGGGCCAGCCAGCTGGGTGGTACCAGGAATAGAGCCTTGGGGTTTCCATTGCAGACCCCCACCAAGGCCTCTCAGACCCTGTCCTAGGACTCCCAGACAGGGTACAGACGCTTCAGAAGTTTTTACAGCGGAAGCAGGGACTGAAGTTGAAGCAGTGGCCTCTTTAGACCAGAGCAGTACAGATCCCATCTGTGGGCTTCTGGGTGAGATTTCACTTAAGCCAAAGCTTCTCCCACCAACATAAAAGCATAGAAGCCATGGTATAGTGGAAACAAAATGGAACTTAGGGTCAGCTAGACCTACCACTTGTACCTAAACTGTGTGACCTCAGTTACATTATTTTACCTCTCTGAGGTTACCTTCCTCATCTGTAAAATGGGAATAATAATACCACAAACAGCATTTTGAGGAAGCACCTATAGTGCTCAAAGAAATATTAGTTTGGAAACATGAGTTCAGTATGTCTTCACAGAAGACAAGTGTTTAGGTGTTGCCATTCTCCCCTGCCTCCAACTTTCCCCAAGACTTGATTTGGCAGCAACTTTCTTCCCAGGCCCCACCCAGTGGGTTGGGTCAGTACCAGGAGTCAAAAGACAGCATTGGGGAAAGAGAAGCAGGACAGAAGAATCCCAAAATAACTAGGAATTGCTGCAGGTACCACCATATCCAAACCAAAGCTTCGGGATGCCTCTAGAATGTGGGGATGTGGTGAAGTAGTAGCACCAAGAAACACCTCCGGGCCTTGAGGAGTTCTGGAGCCAATGGGCCCTCCCACTTTTCAGCCTCTATTAAGTACAATCATTAAAGCTGTATTTGCCTACTAATAATAGCTCCTGGCATAGGTAATTATGACTCTGTCATCCTAGTAAAGCCTGGGTTGGGGCGGGGATGGAGGGGGCTCACTTTTTGCCAGCGTTGCTGTTTGGTTATGGTAAGAGCAGGCCTTGGCAGGCTCATGCTGGCTGGGGCCACACAGAGCTGGCCTGAATCACATGGGCAGTGCCCTTCCCCAACCATGTCCACCCCCAGTCCCTAGGGGTGTCACTTTCTTCCCAGAAATCTCTCTGCCAGCAGTAACCAATCACAGAGCATGAAAGGTTTACAACCATAGTGAGAGGAAGCAGAGCAGGTCTCAATAAATATTAATGAGAGTGAACAGTAACAACAGACAACGCTTAGTTAGTACTCTGTGTAAGGCACCAAGACTACAAATACTCATTCATTCCATTCTAAAAATAACGCTCCCTGGTAGGCTTCTACTGCTATCCCTGACTTACAGATGAAGAAATCCAAGCAGAAAGGTTAAATAAGTAGCTCTATGCCACCCAGCCCTCAAGTAGCAGAGATGGGATTTGAACCCATGGAATTAGAGGCCACAGTCAGTGCTTTTGAAATCTCCTTTCCTATGTGCTGTGCTGCTGTCTGAAGTAGAGGACAGAGAGTTGGGTGGTCAGAGAGCAGACATCCTAAGTTCCTGAATCTTATGGGTGATCTTGAGAAAGTCTCTGGACTTCACTTTGCTCACCTGTCAGACATGGAAAACAGTACCATAACCCTCCCTTGGGGGAACAATGAGCAAATAATTCTTTCAACCATTAGCTTAGAGATTTAGGGATTGAAACAATCTGTAATATCTAAACTGAACACAACTCAAATGTCCACCACCAGATAAATGAACGAACAGAACGTGGTATATCCAAATCCACCATGCGATTAATAGCCAACAATACCAAGAAACAAATTCTGGATAGACACAACCATACGGGTGCATCTCAACTACCCTGAGTAGAAGTTAGACAAAACCAGTACATACTATAAGGTCTCTTTATGTGAAGCTAACTAACATTTAGTGACAGAAAGCAGGTTGGTGGCTACCTGGGGACTGAGGTGTGGGAGGAAGGATTCCAAAGGAATCTGAGGAAATTTGGGGGTGAGAAGTGAACACATTCACTATCTTGCTTGTGAAGATCGTCTCACCAGTTCATGCACAAAACTGAATAAATAGCACCCTTTAAATGTGTTCACTTCATTGTATGTCAATTACACCTAAATACAGTGGTTTAAAAAACAAAATGAGATACCATAATCCTCCTAATAGATTGGCTCTCCTTCAAGGTAGCAGTGAAAACTGGTATCATGTTTTTCGAGTACAATTTAGTAGCAATTATAAAAATTTAAAATGCAAATATACATGGCCCCACAACACCTCCCATCTGGCTAGCATCCTATCTCACAGAAATGCTGGCACAGGCACCAAGGTAACTGAACAAGCAAACACGTCAGAAAGGGAGGAGGGGACAGAGGGTAAGAAGAGGCTTCTAGAGTTTGAATCCTGAATCCAGCTTTAGGCAATCATTAGCTGTGTGACTATGCACCTCAGATTTCTTATCTGTAAAGTGGGGATTAAAAATATCACCTGTTTTGAGAAGGGTAAATGAAATAATGCAAGCAAAGTACTAGGACTTCTGCCTATGTGTTGAGTAAAAACAATAAATAAAAGCTTACTGTTATAGCATTGTTGTAACAGAATAAAACATATACAGCTAACAATCTAAATGTTCACCAGTAAAGGATAAGCAACTATACCTATAGCAAAAAACCAATAGGTACAGGTTTTAGATGTAATATTTGTAGTGGTTACAAAGTATGCAATCTCTGTAGTGATACGAAGAGCTCTCTAAGCTGTTAAGTGAAAAAAGCACACCACAGTACATGATGTGTATAGTAGGATCCCATTTTTGTGTGTGGCCATAAGAGTGGCCACCTCTGGAGGCTAGAGAGAGATAAGACCTTTAATATCGACTTTAATATGGTTCTTATTTTTAAATTTGTTATAATAATCTTTCACATATTTTGTAATAAAAAAACAAGAATAAAAAGACATGCTTAAGTATAAGGGAGCAGAATTCACTCTTGGATTTTGTTTGTGTCAATTAGATTCCAAAGTTCTCAGATGGCTTAAGACTTGTGCTATACTCTCGGTTTCCTCAGAGTGCCTTGAACAGTGTCATGTGTTCCATCCAGAAGTGTTTGCTGACTGACCAAAGCACTGATGAACTGTTGCTTCTGAGAGGCAGGCTTTGCACCACTGGTTTTCCAGGGTCACCATGGTTCATTCTAAGGTCAGTGTGCCTTTTTTTTCTTTTAAATATTATGTCTTGGGTGATGCTATGTAGCAAATTTGTCCCTTAAAAATAAAGTTCACTGCTTTCCAAATCATACTCTACAAAATGATTCACTTGGAAGAAGAAACAGTATATGTTTGTTTCTTTTTAAAGAGACAAGAAAAACTTGGATGGAAAGGGTGACTGACACTTTCCCAATGACACTTTGCTAAGCTCTCCCTCTGAGCCATTGCTACTCCTCTTTAATCTCCTTGCTTTCCAAACTTTCAGAGTCAATGCAGAGGTCAAAGATGCCTGCTGGCATGAAGTTTCTGGGTTAGTGGTGGTGTCTGACTCTCTCAGGCATCTTCCTTAATGTTCTTACTCTCCCTGCCCTGACACTCCTTCATTCTCCTGTCCGACAATGTGTTCTAGGTGTTCTATTAGTGCACCCCTCCCCAACCCACCTCAACAGTTCCATCACTGAAAACCCACTGATCTGGCCAATTCCACATTACAGATGAGAAGACTGAGGCTCAGAAGCGTATAACCTGTTGGAAGGCACCTGGTCATCCATAAGTGGAGTAAGAAGAAAAAGAGCCAGTCTCTCTGTGTTCAATGATCCCTTTATCAACTATCTAGTCTGCCTCTAACAGTTTATTCAGTATCACTCAGTGCCTTAGAGAAGCTGGCCTCTCAAAGAGAAAAACAGTAGCATTATTCTGGAAAGATGTGCGACAAAGACAGGAGGAAAGATGACATACATTGACTGTATGGGAGCCGATGGGCCTCTGCTTCCCTGCTGGAATACAGGCTGGACCGAAAGTCTCTGTGTGGTCAAGAACAAGGCTATCCCTGATGAGGGCGGGGAGGAAAAATGCTGGGGGGGGAGGCCCACAGGGAAAATACCTCTCTAGACTTTGCCCCATGGAACATCTGGTCTACCCTGGGAGAATGAAATTGCAAGAAACTTTAAAGTAGCATCTTGGAAATCTAGGTCATTCATCAAATCTTAAAAACAAAAATCACAACAGAATCACAGAACGTCCTCTCAAGCTCTTAGAAGATGTACAGACCTGTCATTTCCTGGAGCTGAATTTCAGGAAAGACTGTGGATTTCACCTACCTAGAGGAATGCTAAGTTCACTGAACACATCCTCTGGTTCCCAGGAAGGCAAAGAAAGGGGCTCTTTCAACTCCACTTCAGTGAATTCTGGTGAACTCACACCCAGAGATTTCATTTCCGTGTACCTGGAGTTTTCTGCAAAACACCATCCCGGGCAAAAAAACAAATGAAATACAGCATGCCTCAAAGAATGCCTGTAATTCTATTCCCTCTGCTGTGTGATTGGGAATTGTCCCTTGTACTGCTTAACCACAGGAGACTGGGCTATGACTGCTAATTAGAACCAAAGCGCTATAATTAAGAGCATTTCCACTGCCAAAAGAATGCCACACACAATAAAACTTGGCACATCTTTGCACTTGACCCAGGGAGGATGGGCTGCTAATACCTTTGGTTGGGACTATCCACCCCCATTCTCCCCCTATTCAGTATCACTCCATCTCTGCACACAGAGGAATTGTTGAAGGGCAACTTTGTGCTGACATCCACCAAGGCTGGTAAAAAAAGACAATGCTATTTTAACACTCCAGGCTTGAGCAGTGTTACTATACATGAACTCCAAACACTGGGTAAGTTAATAAACCACTACCACTGGCACATGTTGAGACCTATACTGCAAAATAAAAGGGGTTCCACCAGAGCAACGTGAAGTCAGCAATCCTTTATTCTTGCCTGTGCTACACAGGCTGGGCCTCCACGTTTCTCTAGCAACAAGTAGGCCGAGTTTCCATGGAGATACAGATCCAAGCAGGTGAAAAACAGCTCAGGTCAGCTTGACATGGAGGAAAGCCCAAGCCTTTAGGTCACCCACTGGCTCATGCCACCTACAAGGCTCTGGGTTGAAATGCTTATTTTTTAGCCTCTTTTCTGTATTTTCTGCCCCATGACACTTACGTCAAACACAAGCTTTCTGTAAAATGAATCTCTAGTTGTTTTCACTGTGAGAATCATAAGGGCTACACCCCCCCTGCCCCCCCACTGAGCCGATGATGGATTTCAGTTTCCACTTGGCAGAGAAGTCAGGGCTTGGCCTATTTTTAAACTCTCTTTCATGATGTCACAGTACCGAGCATAGATACATCACCTCCAGTGGAGGTGGAGTTGCTCCTTGGAGGAATTTTATATCACTATCAGACCCTGGAGAACAAGATGGCTGAGATAGTAAGAAGGGGAAACAAAGCCCTGCTCCTTCCCCCTGCACCGCTTTCTTGCCAACCTCATTTGCCCCCTCCCAATCACAGAAATAACAAACAGCTAGGGAGTTGCGTAGGCAGGAGTGGCTGGCTGCTTCCGAGGGGAACCAAAGCCCCTTTTACTGAAAACTCCAGCTAATCTTAGTAGTCCAAGCCCCATCTAGGCTTACATAAGTCTAGCCTATCTTGATTTTGCTTCTCAGAACACATGCAGCCTTCTGTTAATTTCTTTATATCATTTGCGTGAAAGCTCTGACATTTAGCCAGGCCTTCAGAGGCTTGCTTTCCTTAGTACAGGACTTCTGCATCAACTTTAAGGCCAGTTGAAAGCTCACATATGTCTGTGCCAGCCTGCACATGCCCACACTTCCTGAGCGGAACAGTGGTCCAATCCACCCAACCACCCATGAGCAAAGGGAGGTAGTTACCCTCAGTCAACGCGCCTTGGCAGGCCTGGCTTTGGAGGTTGCTTTCAGTGGGGGGGCCAGCTTTCTTCTCTAGGGGGCTGCCTTCACAAGCCCCATCTTCGGGGGACCCCCTGGCCTTGCCGTCATCGAGAAAGGGGCTAGGCTGCCGTGCCCTCTCTTCTGCTGGCTGGGGGGAAGACATTTGCTGGGCTGTGGGGGCCAGAAGCACATCTGAGCTCTCGGCTCCCTTTGCCTCCTTCTCGTAGCAATCTGAGTCCTCCAGTAAGAGGCCTGTCTCGCATTCAGCTGGCTTCTGCTCAGCATCCAGATTTAGGCCAGGCATCTCCAGGTCTGTGTCACTGGGACAGCGCGTGGAAGCAGAAGGCAGTTGTCTGGGCAGCTTGAGGCTAATTTCCTCAGCCCCATTCCCTATGGTCTCTCCCTCCTTGAAATCCTTGGACAAGTCCAGGTCTAAGGTGGTTGTCATACAGGGACACATTTCAGGGAAGATTTTATCTTTCTGGTGGTCAATGGGCATAATTTCTTCCAGCTCTGGGATGTCTGGTTCCATGATAAAATCTTCTTCCTCTCCCACTTCATCTACTGTGACCAGTTCCTCCATGTTCGTGGGGTACCAACTCTCCCCCTCTGCCTCACTTCCACTTTCCCAGTCTTGTTCCTGCACAAGAACACAAAATAGAGGTCACAGGGTGGCTGTGAGCATTGAACCTGAAGGTACAAACTTGGCCTTAAGGACCTCTCAAAGCAGAAAGGGTGTGAGCATTCTTCCTTCTAACCGGGAAACATTTATTGGGTAATTAGGAGTAAGTCCCACATCACTGACTCATCTTTGGGACAATACCCAAATGGCACAAGGTTTAGAATAAGCCCTTAATGCTCAATATACCATGTTCAAAAGGATACAAAGAATTTCAACCCTGTTACATAATAGGTACTCAATAAATAATTTTTGAGTGAATGAATGGTCAAGTCATAAATGCTACATACCTGCTGGGGATATTTCCCTGTTTGTGGGGACATCACTACAGGTAACTATGGCAAAATCACTCCCCAAATTCCTCCAAGCACCCACTCCCAGGAAGGGCGCAACTTCCATCCTCACACTTGACCCCTCGTAAAACTTTCCCCTTAGTGTTCCCAGCAGCCCACACACTCAGCAAACAGATCTAGGAGATCAGCTTCTCCTGACCGGAAAGGCACAAAGCTGGCCATATTCCAAGGACATTTGTTTTTGCTGAGGAAGCCCAGCCTAGCAGGACTATAACTGGGTTTTTCTTTTTTGATTAAGTAAAAATAATCTTTACAAGCACAGTCCATGTCTTGTTAATCCCATGGTCTGGGGCTACCAAGGTCAGGGTTCCAACTCGAGTACCTGAATCACCCTAAGGTAATCCCTAAGGGACCTGCCTATTTTGGGAGCCTGGCTCTGAAGTCTAAGTTTTTTGGGGGGCACATGTTTTCTCTCAGAAGCACAGCCAAGTTGCTGGAGAGTGAGGCAGAGCATGGGGGGAAGAGCTCCCCAGCAGAGAGTATGCACAGATCCCAAGCAGAGCCATTCCTCCAGGAACTGCTGGGGGACCAGGCCATCCATGGAACTACCAGTGGAGTCTCAGACACATTCCATGCAGCAGGGTCATCACCAGGCAGGATAGGGACTCCTGTCACTTAGTCCCTGACGACTGAATGAGAGACAATGCTGCCAGGATCTGGGATGACAAATTTACCTTCTCTGTCCTTCTGTTTTCTGCATCCGAGGACTCTGTCTCTTTCTCCTGTCTGCCCACTGGTTGGGGACTTCCTTCCATGCCCTCCTGTCCCTCTTTTCCAGCCTTACAAAAGGAAAAACAGAACAAACAAAATCAACAGTGAGCAGAGACAGGGAAAAGAGGGAGGGAGCACTAAGAGAAAAAGAGTAACACTGAGCACAGCTAATGGTTGTTAGATGCATTTCACCTACATCACTTCCTTTTGCCCTACAGGACCCTGAGAGGCAGCTGTTGTTATGATCTTCACTTTACAGATGAGAAAACCAAGGCTCAGAAAGGCTAAGTAACTTCCTCACCATCACACAGACAGGTGCAGGTATAGAAATGTCTTGAAAGCTGGCCTATATCTTTACGGGGCAGAAATCCTCGGCCAACTGGGTTTTTTTTTTTTTTTCAGTTAGAGTGAGTACAAGAAGCCAAGGGTGAGTGAATTGGGGCTGGTTAAGAACCTGGGGCTGGCCATCAATGGTAACATCTCTCCAACAGATCCATCTTGACCATAAAAAGAAAATCTACATTTTGGCACCTTATAGGTAGGAAGGGAGTTGTCACCTAATCAGTACATGTCACTATTTTTATGCCCGCTCTCTATTCTTCTAGAAGTACAGGCAAGGCTATCACTCCCTTTTCTTTCTCCTTCCTTCTGTTCTCTCCCTGGTTAAGGCCTTCAAGTTAGTGCCCATCTCTGGGAAACTGAACAACTACAAGCAGGAATTTGGTTTGAGAATTACGGCTTCTAAACAGTCATTAAAACAGGGGTCAGCAATCTTCAGTCTACAGGCCAAATCTGACTCATTGCCTGCTTTTGTACTCTGTAAGCTAAGAATGCATTTCAGAATTTTGAACAGCTAGATTAAGTAGTTATATAAGTACCTACATCAAATCCTCAATTCTTCCTCTTGTTCGCATAGAACATAAAACATTTCCCATCTGGTCCTTTGTGGAAAAGACTTGCTGATTTCCACTTCAGAAGTTTCTGGAGGGTATGCTCCCATGAATTAAACTTTGGTCATCAAATCAATGACTGCTCTTGGGCTTCCTTGGGGCAAGTTGCATTTTCTCAACATTTTTGGCTGAGGTTGGTTTGAAGTAAAGGACTCTGGTTCTAATTACTTACAAGTAGACACTCCCCCCACCCCCCCTTCCCCCAGAGCTGACAAGGAGCCAGCTGGGACAAGAGCCCAGGGCTGACTGGTTTAACTTGTTATTTCTGGACAGGATCAGATAGTTCAAATCCTTAAGTCCTTTCTCTTTCCAGTGTTTGGAGCTGCAGATTTTATGGAAAGCTTTGCTCAACTCTTCTGAGTGATCCTAAATGCAGAGTAGCTATGGTATCTTGTTGCCCTTCAGAGGCCACAGTTTCTACAAAGCAGTGATCACTTTTCTGTATATCTGTCTCCCTAAATAAGTGATCCTTGGCCCTCCCTTGTCAAAATAAGTAATCTCTATCCTCACAAGCAATTCCTCTAGACACACTTTTAGGTCAACATAGTAAAGCACTCCCTCCAGTTCAAGCTGAGAGAAGCAGGGACAGCCTTGAGACCCGGCTGTAAGTCCCCCACCAGGCAGACCTTTGCTTTTCCTCCTGCAGGCAAAGCCTTTCAGGACTTAAAGGGAACAGGAAAATGCAATCCATGCACCCAGCTGCCCACATTAGCTCACGGACTAAAATATTAAGTCCCAATAATTGCAAGCTGGATTTGGCCACCACAGAGCCTGTGGTACTACTAAACCACTGTCTAACTCATCTCTCACCTCTGCTACCCCCCACCCCAAGTCTATTCTCTCTCAGGTGATCAAAAATGATCATTCCAAAATATAAAACTATCATATCCTTACTGTACTTTCTTGCAGAAACATGTCATTTGCTTCCTTTTGCATTTAAGATAAAGATGGAAATCTTTACTCTGTCCACAAGGCCCTGCATGACGTACCTGTTGACAAATCAGGCTCGCATTCCAACATGTGACTCTGGATCTCTTTGCTCCAATAACACTGGCCTCTAGCCATGCACAGGGCCTTTGCACATGCTGTTCCCATTATCTGATCTCCTTCCTTCAAATCTCAATAGAGAAACCTCTGAGCCATTGTAGGCACTAAGTGTGATACGCCTCTCTGTCCTTCTTAGTACTTGATGTTCTTGTTTTGAAGAATGACTTGTTTAGCATGTCCTTCCAGGAGACTGAGAATTCCATGAGACCAGGAACCAGTTCACTCTTTTTTTTTTTTTAATTTGGCGGTATGAACTCAGGGACCTGAGCTCACTAGGCAGGTGCTCTACCACTTAAGCCACATTGTCAACCCCAGGGACCAGTTCAATCTCACCCATAACTAGTGCTAGATGCCCCATGGATATTGGTCAATAAAAGACGAGAACTGACAGAAGGGGCTGGGGTGACTGAAGAACAAGTTTGCATCTGTCTCTCAACATAATGGGGTGTCTGTCTGGGCTTTGGGCATGAGTGGCTATTTTACTTCTTCCTCTTAGGGTTTGGTCCATACAATTTCTAAAGCATGGGAGACTCTATTCAGGTATCTTGCTCTTAAGTAAAGCAGGAACCTACAGCAGGGGGTACACATTCTGGAATGGTAGCCACCATCTGGAGCTGAGACGCTTCTGGCTGCCCCCATTAGACAGGCCCTTCCTTGGTCTGTCACCCCCATCCCCATCTCTCCTGCTTGGCCCTGTTCACCTTGCCTGGTTCTGCACCACCTGCCCAGCCTCCCTTCTGTGCATGTTTGGATATGTAACCCCTGATCCCCTCTTCCAGTAAGAAGGACAGGTGCTTCTTTTCCATGTTTTCTTCATGCAGTGATCTGATTTCTTCCCTTCTTTCTAAAGTGCCCTGGTCATGGCTGGGTCTCGTGTGGTCTTGGCTACCTGTGAACACTGTGTGTGCATGGGCTTCTCCACCCCAGTACTTTCTCCTGAGATCTCCAGGAGCTCATTAAAGAGCCACAACAGGCTGATGGTCACACCACTTTACAAACAAAAACACTGAGCAGAGAAAAACAAGAAGTGACCTGGTTCTCAGAGGTTGGGCCTTGTCTTCAGAGCCTAGGCTCCATCATTCGCTCCTTCAACAGGTACTTATCAAACACCCACTCTGCGCCAAGCCCTACTCCAGGCACAGGGACAAGGCCACGAACAAAGCAGATGAAAATTCCTGCCTTGCGGAGATTACACTTGGAGGAGGAGGGGGCGGGGAGGCATGAGAACAGACACTAAATAAGAAAAGTACACTAGATAATCAGCGCTACCAAACACAGGAAAGGAGAGAAGTGGGTCAGAATGCTGAGACTTTAGGCAGTGGCCAAAGATAAACTTATGGCCATGAATAAAGACAAAGATGGTGAGAGCAAGCCAGGAGGACTTCTGGGGGTAGTGGGGGGGCTGCTTGGCAGAGGGGATCATGTGCAAAGGCCCTGTGGCAGAGAGGTGCCTGGTACATTAGAAGAATAGCAAGGACACCCTCAGTCCTGCACCTTTCATTCCCAAATTCAGGTACTACCTGTTATTTGACTTCTGGGCAGCCCAGCTGGATTTTTCTCAAGTTCATAATACAGAATTTGACAACAGTATAGAAAACTCTTTATTCTGCTGTTACTCTAACACAGTGTTGGGCCGCCTAGCTCCAAACCCCAGGAATAATCTCTTGGGGACCCTGACAAAGACTGACTGACCCCACTAGAGAGCTATAAGATGAAGGACCAATTAAAGTGACAGAATTAGGGGGAAATGTGAGACTCTCCGGGAATCTTTTTTGCATCAGGGCTCTTGGGATCACCCATAGCGTGTGAGCCTTGTGGACAGCAGCATGCAGACTGAGAACAGCAGGCTAGGAAAACAGCAGGATAAATAAGGTTCCCAAAGAAGAGTCCTGGGAGTGTGGCGGAGGTGTAAAGGGGCAGTCCACCCTTTTCCCCATATTTGCATATAACCTACCCATCTCCTCTAGATGACTTAAAATACCTAATACCATGTAAACAGCTGTTACATTGTATTTTTAAGGGAATGACAACAAGAAAAAAAATGTACACATACTCACTAAAGACAATGTTTTTCCCAAATATTTTCAATGTATGGTTGGTTGAATCCATGGTTAGATGAATCCATAGATACAGAACCATGGGTACAGGGGACCAACTGTATACTCTTCTTTAAAATATATATTGATTCTCCAGCTCCTCGGGATCCAGTTCAAGACCTTAGTCTGGCACAAAAGGCTCCTTCATGAGCCCTCCCACCCACTTCCCTAATCTTACCTCCTGTGCCTCCCCTGCTGTGCCAGTCAGGAAAACGTGCAGTGGAAGATTACTAAGTTCCTACTAGAATGCTGGGCATTTGTCTAGCACATCCTTCTAGGACATCTGATTGTATAGAAGCCTGCACCTTTCATTTTCTTGAACTGAGCTATTTTATAACTCCGTAAATTGCAGAAAACTCACTGAATTTAATGCAAGTGACTCTGGCTCAGAGGTTCAAATGAACTTTATCCTGTAGAGATCCTTATGGAAGACACCAGTTCTACATCGTCAGCAAATTCATTTCAGCATTCTTGATTGCTTGTTGGTTGCCTGATCTTTGGAGTCTCCTTTGAGCTGACTTTTCTATCTTACAATAAGAAGATGGAATTAATGAGTTAACTACAATCTTTGACATTTGTTCAGTATATGTTTATACCAGGTCACGATTTTACTTTGGTAAAACCATCCTTTAATATGCCTTAAAGATGCAGCCATGCTAAGTGTCTCCAGGTTCTTGAAAACAGTCTTGTTTTTGCTTTTGCCCTTGCTGCTGCTTCTACCAAGGACACCAAACTGCTTTTTGTCCCCAATACCAGTTCAATTACCACCTCTTCTGTGCAGCTTTCTTCCTCTGTGTGGAGTCCATGCCCAGACAACAGCTAATCCACTGTAATTCCAACATGGATTGCACTGTATGTAAATTATCTTATAGGTCTGTTTCCACCAATAGACCTTGGTCTCTGCCATAACAAGGGCTATGTCCTACTCAACTTTGGATCCCCTGTGCCTAGCATACTATCTGGCCAAGTGGTACTCTGTCCATGCATGTGGATATGAAGGACAAAGTAGTGGCCCAAACTGTGACTCTTCAATGTTCAAGGAGCTGAGAAATGTGATCCTTAGTTGAACTTAGTAACTGTCACCAACTCTTGGGTCAAGGTGACTAGAAGATATGCCCAGAAGATTTAAAAATAAGATTTCTTATGTAGATCCCCAAGCCTCTACTAGCCCACCTCTACTTAAACACAGGAGACTTTGGCAAGAAGAAAGTGAAGCCAAGTTAGAATACAAACTTGGTACCAGAGTCCTCTGGTGACCCCCTGTGTGAACTAAGGCAGTTACAGCCATTTTAGACACTTGGATGAAATGCTAGCTGTTGCCATGTGTTTTTATTAAAATGGAACCCAACCCTGTGGGTAGTATCTGGAGAAACACACCACACCCTTGGTACCCAGTCTAATTTAGGGGGTGGTGACCGCTTCTCCTTTATCACCTCTCATTGGAGCTCCAGGATTGGTGGATGCTTTTTGGTAGGAGAAAGGACAAAGTAGACCAAAGATCCAATCTCCCTTGGCAGACGCGGTGAGGGCACACCTCAGAGCCACCCCACCCTGGGCAAACAGGACGATACCAGGCCTTTCTACTGTGTCCCTCCCTAACTTTCTAGTAAAGGGATTTGGGGCCAGGTTACCAGGAATAATTCTGACTCTGCCATTTCCCAACCAAATGTCCTTGAGCAAATAACATAATCCTCTGTGCCTCATTTTCCTCATTTGCCGTAATAACAGTGTCAACCTTATAGGGTTGCTATGAGGATTAAGTAACTTACTTGAGATAATGTGTTTAGCACAGGGCCTGGCACACAGTGCTCATTCACTTAATAAATGTTCATCAATCATCATCAATTATTATTATTTTACCTCATTCTCTGCCATTTTGCTTTCTTTTCCGTCATTGGCTCCTTCTTGGTCTCTATCAGGTCTCTTGGTTTTATTTTTCTCACTCTGCTTGGATTTGGTACCCTCAGGGGCCCTAGTGACTTTTGGCTGCAGCCCATCTTCCTTGCCTGAGTCATCAGGGTGAGGGTGTCTGCCTTCCCGCAGCCTGGCCTCTTCTTTCCTCCTAGACCTCCCGGGAGTGTCCTGCTGCTGCTTTAGGTATTTGTCTGCCTTGGCTTTGGGCTCCTTGCGGTAGTAGCCATCTTCCCGGCTTTTGTAGCTGGACACATTGTGGAGTGGGTTGGGGGACCCAGACCTCAGGTACTTTTCCCGGTGGCCCCTCCCTCCTTCAAGTCGTTCATCCAGCTCGGCTTTGTCCAGCTGCCTTGGGTAGTGTTTGCGATCGTGCGCCCATGTGTCTGTCCTGTCCCTCTTGTCCTCCCCGTTCTCCCTCCAGGGGATAGGGTCTCGCTCATCCTCCCTCCGGACATATGGGGAGTGCTCCCACGAGTCCCGGCCATTGCCCCAGTCAGCCCGAGAAGGGATTGGAGGACTGTGGGAAGAGCTGCAGGAGGTGAAGCTTGGAGTGTGGGACCTCGGGGATAGCGACCTGCTCACCGGGCTGCGAGAACGAGGCCGCTCTGGGCCATATCTGCAAGGGAGCAAAGGAGCAGGGTTTAGAATCTGCCCGCCCCACAGCCCACCCCACCCAGACACCCACATACACAATCTCTCAAGAGACAACCTATCCAGCTGTACACTCTTCCATCACAACTGTCTAGAGTCACACAGAGTGGTCCAGGAGAAAGGGATTCTCCTGAGCCCCGGACCGGCCACTCTCATTCTCCTGGGAGCTGGGAAGAACAATTGGATTGGCTTGACCCTGTCTTTCTTCCATGAGGAAGTGAGCTATGCTCAGAGAGCAGACCTGCACTCTCCTCCTGGGGCTGGGAGGAGTGGGGAGCTAGGGGTAAGGCTGCCTAAGCCTGGGTCCCTTGCTTACAAGACTTGAAACCACTCCTCCACTTGGCCTCTGTCAGAATATAGGTGACCTTCTGGCCTCCATTTCTCTCATTTACTTCTCATCTCAATTTGGTAAGACCCTGGGCATGGAAGAGGGAGGCTAACTGTTGGGGAGTAGTGGGGTGGGAGGGCAGACCCAGAGATCCCCAAACAAAAAATTAGGAAGAGACCTAAGTGTTGGAAGAGACCTGCAAAACCTGACCTGCTTATGGTTGAGATGAAGTAACTGAAGCCCAAAAAAGAATGCAGAGCAAGACCTCCTAATTCCCTTTCCACGATGCCAAGAACTGCAGGTGGCACAGTCATTTAAAACCCCAAGTTTAGATAAACAAAAAACAGACAAAAATCCCAAATGTACACTTACTTACATACACACACACACTCTGAAGGTTGGTTATTAAGAAGATCAATTGATTCACGTATCTTATATCCTAAAACGGTGGGCATTTTTCATTTGGTTCTTAAATGTAGGACAACCATGTGGCTTTCGCTGCCAGGAGACACAGAGAGCTATGTCTGGCTAAGACCAGGCTGCCTTCACCATCTTGGGAAACGGCCTGGGCTCACATCCTCTATAGTGAGGTTAGAGCGCCCTCTGTGACAGCCCTGGGAAAGAGCAACAAACTGCCGGCCAGGCTAGGCCTGCTCCTGCTTGTTTTGATCTTGTTTCTTCACAGGACTGTCTTTGTAAGAGAATGACCACGGTCAACCTGTAGACCCAGTTTTGCCTGATCACAAACTTCAGTTGAGAGAAATGGGTTGGAAAACTGCATTCAATCTCCAGAGTAAGTGTTTAAGTAACTTGGGTTGTGTTTTGTTATGACCATCCACATTCTTATTCCTACATCTATATTCAACTCTTAAAAACTCAGGAGCTGGCTGTAAACAGAAGCACATGCACCCCACTTTTGTTTGTGTTCAGGTGTTTTAGTAGAGTGCAGATTTGACCCAAAGAACCAAATACTAATAGACCCTTTGCTATTCTTTTCCAACAAAGGAGGAGCATCTGAGAGAAAGCCCAGCATCTTGCATTTTCTAAGGTCAATCTGAACAGCACTTCTAAATCAGAGTAGTGCTTCATTGGGAACTTGGACACGCAGGGCTGAGCAGGGCAGATGGGTGGGGCAGGGGCAAGGGCAGGGCCATGGTGTGACTCAAATCCCTCTAAGAATGAGGAACGGGAAGGTTCTGCTCTGAGACCAGAAGCCTCACCTGTCTGCTTCCCGGAACATGTCTCTCTCCCTCTGAGAATGGATGTCTTGGATGATAGCAGCCACAGTTTTCCCGGGTTTCTAGGCAAAGTCAGAGAAATCACCATCAGGTCAGAGACAGCCTTGTGAATGCCAGAGGGAAGCAGCCATGACTTGAGTTATTGATCGCCCAGTCCACCAAAGTGGGAAGAGTGCCTTTTGCAGGGAAGAAAAAAGTAATCCAAGGGATAAGGAGAGTGAGCATAATGTGGACCAGAGTAGGACTGAGGGTCCAGAGAGCATGGCATCCATTGAACTGGGGAAAGAAGGAGCCTGGGTTTGTCATCCATGTGCTGAGGATAGGCAGCATTTGTTAATCCCTCCTAAATTAAAAAAGTACTCAAACTGTAAAAAAGAAGGAGGGAGGGAGGGAGGGAACACTGGCATTATAGACTTGGAAAGAGACTTGAATGAATGAAGCCATCTTCACAAGGTAAAGCTTCTGCCCTGATTAACTCCAGAGTCACCAGCCACATTGTGTTACATGCAGATGGTGACTCCAGGCATTTTGCTAGGTCCAAGGTCATGGAGATGATTATAGAATGAGACTTGAGGCCAAGTGTAGTGGTGCATATCTGTAATCCCAGCTGTCTCAGAGGTGGAGGCAGGAGTTCAAGGCCATCCCCAGGCAAAGTTAGGAAGATCCTGTCATAAAAACAAAAGGACTAGGGGCATAACTCAAGTAGAAAGGCCCATAACTCATGTAGAAAGGCCCTAAATCAATCCCTGTACCATGAAAAAAAAGGAAAGAAAAGAAAAAGGAATAGGGACTTGATGACAGACCTTTTACCTCCAAGTTCTTTTCCATGCCCCATGACACTTCAGTGTCACTGTGTGTGCGGTGGTTGTGCCAGGAAAGGACACTACCACCTGTGCTAAGCCCAGGCCCCAAATTCCAACCAAAGCCCCTTCCTAAACCCCAAATGGGAAAACAATGACAAAATTTTTTTAAAAACAAAAATTTTTTAAAAAAGAAATTCATGAGCACAAAAGAAAGGGTGAGAGCATCTTTCAAAAGACTGCAGAACTTATCCATTCTATAAAAATGTATAAGCAGGGTGAGTTTTATGATATGTAGATTATCTCTCTCTCTCTTTTTGTTTGTGGTACTGGGGTATGAACTCAGAGCCTACTTGAGCCACTCCACCTCCCTTTTTTGTGATGAGTTTTTTCAAGATGAGATCTCATGAACTATTTGCTCAGCTGGATTTGAACTGCAATCCTCCAGATCTCTGCCTCCTGAATAGCAATGATTACAGGCGTGAGACACTGGCACCCAGCAATTATATCTTAATAATAATAAAGTAATAATAAAAGTATATATACTTTTAAACAGGACTAAAGCCCTTCAGTCTGAATATTAATTTTTGGGGTTCGAACTCAGGGCTTTGCATTTGCTAGGCAGGTATTCTACCACATGAGCAACATCTCCAGCCATTTTTCCTCTGATTACTTTTGAGATAGGGGCTTGCTTTATTCCTGGGCCAGCCTGGGCCATAATCCTTCTATTTTAGACCTCCTGCCATAGTTGGGATGACAGGTATATGCACCACACCCAGCTTTTTCTGTTAAGATGAGGTCTCACTGTTCGCTCAGGCTGGCTCTGAAACTGCTATCCTTCCTATCTCTGCCTTCCAGATAGCTAGGACTACAGGCGTGAGCCATTAGCACCCAGTGTAATACCAATTTTTGAAAAGAATCTTTTTAAGAAACTTAATCCACTTCTCTTCTCTTTTCCACATAGTTTACAAAGAAGCACAAAACCTTAAGTCATTCAAAAGTTAGCTATCACCCTGTATCGCTTTCTATAGACAGGGAAACCAGGTCCAGAGGTGTGTAGTAGCTGGGACTACAACTCTATTGAGTTCTTGTTGAGATTGAGGGCTGGGCTGAGAAAAATGCAGAGTAAAGGTGGGAACGGACTATGACTTAAGGATGAGCAGTCAAGGACACAGGAAGAGATAAGAAATGTTCAAGCCCTGAAGAGCTCTCCTGTCAGCTCTTAAGATACCAAAGGAAAGAACGTCAAAGAGAAGATCATGGCACTTCCCCTTTGGTGTGAAGAAGCAGGAACACAAGAAACTAGACAGTCCCCTGTTTAAGAAATGGCCCAGGGGCACAGCACTAGCCAGGGTATTTATCCAAAAAGGCACCTCCCAACTTTGATAAATGCACCTTCTGTCCAACTGGAGCTATAAAGGTTGCCTCTTTCTAAGCACATGGAAGTTCCATCTGCAAGTAAGCAGGTTACCCAGAACAGGTACTGTCAACTGGTACCTCACTTGCTTGAATTGGACCAGAGCCTTGCCCAGCCCAAGGCTGAACAAGGAAAGAGGCCATGCTTGCTGAGCTGAAGGGGTGAAGAAAGCTGCTTCCCAGAATGGCTCTTTCCACCTCACCACCCACTCCAGCCCACCCGTCCTTCAGACCGCCTGCTGTTGGTCACTCCCTGGAGGTAGAAGATGGTTCATCTAGAGGTGACTGTACTTAACACTGAGCTGGATCCCACTGAGCGGGTCTTCTTCCTGCCTGCCCACCTTGGAAGTTGGTTCTTGCCTTCACACAACAGATGTGATTAGCAACGGAGCATGGGGAAGGTGGTGGGAGCCACCAGGACCAAGTCCACGTGATGAGATTTGCATTCCTCAGGAGGCCAATTCCAGGTCCCAACTCTGTGACTCATGCTGTTGAGCTGGGACTAGCTGGGACAGGCAAAGGCTCAAGAATATGCCTCCAAGAAAAAAAAAAAAAAAAAAAGAATATGCCTCCATCCTGGGTTAAGTGCAGAAGGCAAGCTCTCAGACACAAACATAAAAATCCCCTGAGGGGCTGAATGGGGGACTTTCTAGTGTAAAAGGAATCCCTGAGGTCCAACTTTTCTTTTGCTCTTCTAGAACCTGATATCCTCCCGATTGTTCCTTCTAGACCAGACTCAAGAAAGTCTGGTATGAGAGGAGGAGGTGGCCTTGTCAGTGAACAGATGGAATAGACAAGGTTTTATAGATTACCCAGGGGAGCCAATGTCAAGGTCAGAGGCATCCAAAAGCACTTGGTCCAATGTACACCTGCCATCATAGACAGCACCTCCAGGCCCATCCCCACTGGGGATAAGAAGCAGAGAAGGCCCACTGCAGTCACAACAAAGCATCTGGAGTGCTGTGGGGGCTGGAAGAGCCACTTCTTAACTTAAGCATCCTCTGCCCCTTATTTCCCCCAACACACAACCTCCTCCTGATGCAACTTTCAGCCCAGTGCCTTCTGAAGTTACTTCTGTTCAGATCCTGGTTGCCCAGTGAGGCCTCCCTGATTGCTCATCTTCACACAGTCAGCACCAGCAAAGCCTAACATGGAACAGGTGTCCCATAGTACCTATTCCAAGATGAATGGCTAGAGAAATGGAGGGAGGCAGCTGCAGAAAATTCACCTGCAGACACAGTCTGCAAATATGATCCCAAATATCGTGTCTCTTCCTGAGGATCAGAGGGTCAGCTATTTTAAGTGGCAATAGCAAATTGTTCGGCACTCTCTGAACAAAACACCCTACCAGCTGTCATCTGTGAAAGGGGACAGAAGTGGCCAAAGATTTTCAAATAAAAAGGAGGCAGGTGCAATGGTGTCATCACCTCCAAACTTGGAGCGGTCTATGATGAAATTTAGAATATCTTATTATTGTAGGAAAAGTAGAGTGAATTCAGAAAAGTAGATTCACAAAAGTAGAGTGAATCTTTTCATAGGAATTCATTGAATCCCATGAATCGCTTACCCATCTAGAACAATTCTGCTCAATCTTCTTGCATCTGTATCCCACCCTCTTTCCCCACTCCTGAGATTATTTTGAAACAAATCCCAGATGTTGTATCTTTTCATCCATTCTACAATGATATTGATGCAGCTCAGCAACCCCATGGGACCAACCATGTGCTCACTGTCAATACCTCTTGCAGTTTCCAAGACAGGGTGAGATTCTAAGCCACATGCTACCCTAGGAAAGTGCTGGCCTTCAGAGAGGGAGGCACTACAAGCTGGAATCTCAGCCCAGAGAGAACAGCCCAGCAACTGGCAGGGTCACCAGGGGTCAAGGCTTGTTGCCTGTGGGAGACTCACTTTCTCCACCTATAAAGGTAGGATAATGAGGCCCATATGGCATCTACCAAAAGCCTACAGGCATGGCAGCTACTCAGATGAAAGCCTGAAGTGCTTGGCCAACATAAAAGGAGCTGCTGAGGAGTTTCATGCCCTCTGACAGCTCTGCACTGCTGTGCCTACCTCCAGAGCCTTGGGAAGATGCTAAAACCTTCCAGATGAGCCTGGGACTGATCAGATCCAGGTCCTGTCAAGGCAACCCCAATTGCTTCTGACATTACTGGGCTTCCCAGCCTCTACATCTCATCTCATCTGACTCCTTCCTGGCAGCTCCTTCCCTGTGCAGTTACCAAAGCTCTACCCAGGAACCTCTCCCTCTTGTATGCTCCTAAGTCACACTACCTTTTGCCTCTGAACTCCTATTATCTTCCATACTTTTGTGCTCATGTTTAAATCTTCTATAATTTTGCATAAGAATAGCTTGTCTCCTATCAGATAGAAAACTCTCCCCACATGAGGACCGTATCTCATAATCGTCACAGCTGTACACAGAGAAGACCCCATCAAGTTTGCTGACTTTAGTCTTCCCAACTGAGAGCATCATGGGCCATTCACAAGACTGCTTCCCAAGACCAGAGGCACCCTCTGCAGCTAGAGGCTGGCCAGACCAGTGGATCTGAAGCCAGGTCTTGCCCCCGCCGATTCCCAAACCTACTGCATGCAAATCTCTGGGCACAAGAACCCAAAACCCCTAACTCCTGACAATTCTAATGCAGTGACTTGGAGACAGTAGTTCAAATTCTACATTGACGACATTATGGTTCTATATGTATTGGAGAAATCTCTACAGAGAAACCCAGCAAACATTTCAGTCTTTCTTGTCCAGGTCTGCAGGAAGGAAAAACAACCACATTTTATTGTTCCTTTATAAGTTCTCTTCCTCATTCATATTCTGCATA